TAGTAGCAATGCAAAAGTGTATAGCTCCTGAGAGTAAAAATTCAGCCCTTTTTCATAAATGAAACATACTTTTATCCAATGACCCAGTTACTCCTCACCTACATGCTTAGCTAAGGAAAACAAAGCACTAGCCATACAATACTGTTGGTCTGTAAGCAAATTATCTGATGTGAAATCAACATTTTACACACAGGCTTAAGATTCTCCCTCTTTTTTCCTCACACACATAAACTATTTCAAATTTACAAAACATTATACACCATCAAGCTTTTCTGTTTCCTATCCCCACTCCATACTTCTTGACCTTTCAAATCATTCTAAGATATTCGTAACCTGAGCAACTTCTCAAAGTGTATAAATAGCAGAACTTTAAATTAATTTACACTTTTCCCCTGTGGATTATTTGCATGCAAATAAATAATATGCAGAGTTCAAGTGAGACTACTCCAAACTCAATAAATACATCCAGTATTGCTAGTACGGTGGATGGGTTTTGGTAGAGCTTCCAGATTACGATAGACTTGGAAACAGGATTGGCATACACTTCTTAAATAACAGGCCTTTGAAAACGCTATGAACACTAGAGGGGCAAGACAGTCATAGAACTGGGTTCAGATCTTTTGTTCTTAGGGTTGCTATGAGTTGTATACTCGACTCAATGACACCTAACAACAATAACAATTGCTACCTTATTCGTTTAGGCTACTGATTTGCTAAAATTTTCCATAAGAAAATACAGAAATCATACAATATGTTCCTATTAAGTAATTTTTAATTTATAAAGTTATCAAATTCCCCCCTAGTTTTCTTCACTACAGAGCACACCCTTTAAATTCAAATTTCTTCTGAAAACTCTCTCATGCCCTCTGCTGTCCATTTACTGAACATAACTCATTAAATAATAAGATATTCATGGACATTGACATCAAAATGACAAGATATCCTGGGTTTATTTGATTGTTCAATCAGCTTTAGAAAATAATCTATGCCAAGAAATGGTTTAATTTTATCATAAATTTTGTACTATTAATATTTTTAAATGAAGAAATAACTCATAATCCCACTACTTGTTGATTGCCCTCAAGTCAAGCACGACTCATTGCGACCCTAAGAACAAAAGGCCTGAAGCCCCTCTACAACTATGGACATTTATCAAAGCTCACAGAGTTTCTGGAGGCATGTTATTTAGGAAGTGGATGCCACTCCTTAAAGACAACAAACATTGTCAAATGATGCATCTTTCTCTGGAAATGTCTCCATACTATATCATTTATACTGAAATAATTATCATTACAGAATGGGGATCATATTATAAACACAGTTTGGTGTTCTACTTGTTCCATGCAATACCATAGTATGGAAATATTCCATACTATATTGCTGAACTTGGAAGGAGTCGCATCTACTTCCTAAACAACATGCCTCTGGAAACTCTATGAACTTTCCTAAATGTCAATAGTTGTAGAAAGTCTTCAGGTCTTTTGTTCATAGGGTCACTATGAGTCATGCTTGACTCAACGGCAATCAACAACACTTTCTAAAGATCTCATTTTTAAATGGTTGCATGGTAGTTCATCAATATTAACCTATTTAAATCTTTTTTATTATTACGTTCTATGGAGCAGTTCTACACTATAATACCTAGGGCTGCCACCGATTGGAATGGACTTCAAAGCAAGGGGGTTATTGTTGTTGTTAGATATTGTCAAGTTGGTTCTGACTCATAGTGACCTGATGTACAACAGAACAAGATGCTGCGCAGTACCGTGCACTATCCTCTCATTCATCACTGTCTGAGTACATTACTGCAGTTAAAGGTCTTACCGCCTTTTACTAATCCTCTACAAGATGTACTTCTCTAAGATGAGTCTCTCCAGATAATATGTTCAAAATATGTTCAAAGAATCCTTTCCATTACTACTTCCAAGCTCTATTCTCCACCCCCCAAGGTAAATTTTCTTCATTCTTCTGGAAGTGTATTCAATATTCTTTGCCAATGCTGTAATTCAAAAGTGCCAACTCATCTTCTGTCTTTTTTATTCATTGCCCAGCTTTCACATGTACTGAAAAATCCTGCAGCTTGAGTCAGGTACACCCGAATCCTCAAAGTGACACTTTTGCTTTGTAACATTTTTTTAAACTTTTTATTTTATTTTATTATTTTTGTGTGTGTGTACCATCAAATCAGATCTTACTGGTACAGGAGGAGATTGTCCCTCCTTCCTCGGCAGAGCATCTGGTGGATTTGAACCGTGTGCCTCTGGGATTGCAGTGCAGCTTCTTGCCACTTGGCCACCAGAGCTCTCCTGCTTTGTAACATTTTATATAGCAACTCCCCAGTGCAATATGTCATTTGATTTCTTGAATATGGCTTCCATGGCTTTTGATAGTAGATTAATTTTACTTGAATCTATGGCTTTTATTGTTGGGAATTATGTTTATTCAACCATTACAAATAACTCTGTAAAATAAAATTCCTTGTTCACACTTTGGTTTCTCTCCCACACTCCTAATTTTATGCTTATGTTACATTCCCAAAGTATCCAACAAGTGGGTCACAGATACACACTTTTTTTTAAGGCTTGCAGAAAGTGAAAAATATTTGAATCATATTCTGAAGAAGATCAAAGACTAGAGCCTTCAAAATGAGTTACATCTCAATATCAAGAAAGCAAACATTGTCCCCACTGGACCAGTAGACAATATCATGATAGATAAAGACTGAAGTTGTAAACAATTTTATTTTGATCTACAATCAAAACCTATGATAGCAGCAGTCAAGAAATCAAAAGACATTTGCATTAGAAAAAGGTGCCATTAAGGACCTCTCTACTCATAAGCTACATAGAGCAAGGATGTCAGTATAAAGATTAAGGTGTGCCCGATCCAAGCCATTGTATTTTTCAATTGCTTTTGATGCTTCTGAAAGTTGGACAGTGAATAAGGAAACAGAATTGATGCCTTTGAATTGTGGTGTTGGAAAGTGTATTGAATATCCCATGGACTGCTAAGGAAACTCTGGTGGCCTAGTGGTAAGAATCTGTGTTGCCATTCTGAAGGCACACAGTACAAATTCACTAGTTGTTTTGTAGGAGAAGGATGGGAAATTTCCTCCTGTATGATTACTGCCTCGGAAAACCAACCGGAGGGTCAGCTCTGGGCTAGTTCCAACTCCCCAGTACACAACAACAATATGGACTACCAAAAGAACAAATTTGTTTTGAAGGAAGTGTAGAGTACTTCTCAGAAGCAAGAATGGTGAAACTTCACCTCATTTTGGCCATGTTTTCAAAAGGAACTAGTCCTTGGAGGGGAAACATCACACTGGCAAAGCTAGAGGGTCAGAGAAAGAGAAGAAGATGCTCAAGGTGGATTGATACAGTGACTATTACAATAGGCTTGAGGAGGACAAAGATCAGGAAGATGGCGCAAGACACAGTAAAGTTCAGATATGCTGTTCACAGATGAGTCGTAGTTAACTAGATGGCATCTAACAACGTTTTGTTATTGTTAAGTGCTGTCAAGTCATAGACAACTCAAAGCCACCCTATGAATGAAAGACCTGAACACTTGTATAACTTTCATTATTTCTCCAAGTTCGTAGAGTTTCCAACGCAAGCTATTTCGGAGCAAGCTATTTTGGAAGTGGATGCCACTCCTAGTTCCAAGTTTGTTTTAATAGGGGAGCTCTACCAAACCCACCATGAGTAATCATTACCGTATTTGACACATCAGTGTCACAGTGTTTAGCATCACAGCAATCACGAGTTATCTCCGTACAGCAAATAGAATAAGAATGTAAAAGGTGAACCAGATCTTAGAGTCAGTTTAGTGTGATCCTTCATTCTAAAGCTAAATCAATATAACAAAGATCAATGTGGCAGTGAGGGGGAAAGTCTCTCTTTTCACAGCAACACCATGATTCTTTTTGGTATCTTATTTTAGCTTTAAAACTGAAGATTTAGCAATCAAGGAGATCGATTTTGCTGCCTAAAGAACTCTTTATCCCTTGGATTTTCTTTGGAACTGAGAGTAAAAGAAAAATACAATTTTGTATTCAATGTATTCATATTCATTTGATTCTTACAAAAATCCTTTGAAGTAATGGGGAAAAAAAGTATTTTGTTCTCACTCTAAGGATGAGCAGTTAATACCAAGAAACATTCAATCTCAAGTCTTACGCCATGATGGAGCCAAAACTCTAATACTATTCCTAAAATCTACTACTCAGGAGGCATTCTCTCCCCAAACCACCAATCTAGCCATTTATCCTCTTGTCAGGGCTTGTCTTGCCAAGAGGGCGCTGCACTAGTTTAGGTAAACCTGAGCCTAACCACGATGAGAAGATACTCCTAGTTTGATTTCTCACCTTTAAAAGAGCTGTCTCTTTTCATTCCCCTTGGTCTTGCTCCTTATTTAAACTTCTATTTTTATCTTTGATTAGGCCTGCAGGGTTTCGTTCAACAGCTCCACCCTCTCCAAAGTAGCTATAACCTCCTAAATCGCTTCCTAGGTATCCAAGGAGACCACAGACACAAAACTTGACCCACGTGTTTTCTTTTTCTCCTTTCCCATTGGTCAGGTGGCTTCCTCATGTAGGCTCTTCCGTCATACCAATGGCCAATGAACTTGTAGCAAATACAGAGAGACTTTCGAACTCGGTCTCCAATCGTATCTAATCCACGAATTGCCTTCTGGGATATATAGTTTATAGTCCTCGGAAGTCGTTTGATGCCAGACCTAGTTAGAACTACTTATCCCATCAGCCTCTGCGAAAGAAAGGATGGTGTATAAGGAAACTGAGGTTAAGGTTTATCACTTAAAGCTTTGAAGTTTTAAGTTTTGAGTGTGGTTTGTTCAGTATAAGTTTAAATCCCCGGCACAGTTGACACACCTGATCTTGAATCAGCAAATGTTCGAAATGCATCCCCTTTGACGTGACGCAAGTGACCCTTCCTGCAGAGGAGCTGATCTGAGAGGGCCCGAGAGCGGGACAGACCATGTTCGCCCCGTACTCAGGGTGGGCGCACAGCAGCCTGCGGCTCTGCCAGCTCCGCGTGTGGGTCCGGGCAGCTGTCGATCGCTGGACATTTTTGCCTTTCCAGGGTCGGCGGTATGGTTCTGGAGGGTGCGAGCGCCGGCCGGGGTTGGAGCCCGAGGTCACTCGGCCTGGCCCCACGCGCCTGACACTGAAGGAGTGGACACTGCGCGTGAGTCCGTTCGGCCGGCTGCGCGCGCGGCTCCCGTGCCACTTGACTGTGAGACCCCTGGATCCCCTCACATACCCTGACGCTGACCGCGTGCTCGTGGCGGTGAGCGGCGTGGAGGGCTGTGCTCAGAGCCTCGACAGCCTGCAGGTGAGGTACGATGAGGTGCGGAAGGAGATGGCCATCGAATCTCACACCATCGACCCCAAGGCCTCCGTGGAGGTGGACGCGCCCCTCAAGTTCGGCAAGTGAGGGGCTGGGGTACCAAGGGCTTGTGTTGCGAACCTTCCCGAACTGTGCTGATCTGCACTTTCAGTTGATCCACTTTGAACTTATGTTCCAATTTGCAGTCACCCGTTAGAAACTGACATTTGCCTATTTATATGTATTCTTATGTTGTACTGTGAGTTTCCAAATTATTGTTGTTGTTAGGTGTCAGTACAACGCGTAGTGATCATGTGACCAACAGGGTCTCAACCCTGTCCTATGTCATCCTCACAATCTCTGACACATTGGGGCCCATTGCCACAGTCACTGTGTCAATCCACCTGGTCGTGGGTCTTCCTCTCTTTCGCCTACCCTTCACCTATCTAAGCAAGGTTTCCTCTCCAGTGAAAAACCTCTTCTATACACATGCAAGTGATTGAAAAGACCATGGCCTGAATAAAGCGCATCTTGGTCTTCAAACTAACAAGTTTCCAAGTAGTAAGGAGCACTAGTGGCCAACTGTCCCATGGGTGAAGGATGGGCAGTCTACTCCTGTGAGAGTAACTGCCTCTGAAAACCTGCCGGAAGGTCAGCTATGAGTCAGTTCCAACTCAGTGGTACACACCACCACCAGATCGAAATGAATTCTCAAATGACAGGGATTTTGTAAATCTAGTGGAAAAGATATTTGGATAAATACAAGTCAAATAACATGTGTGAAGCCCTATATATTGTCTTTTCACACTTTATTTCTAATATTCCCATTGCACTTGATCATTATCAAAAAAGGCTTAAAGGTTCTTGATAATTTATTCAAAGTTAGGGAAGTTAATCTATATTTTCCTTTGCTTACAACTTTGATGATCTGACCTAAAGCCCTAAATATGTTCCATGTCTACACACCACCAAATCTTTTGGTTTCTAATAGACACCAGTTTCTTACTGGTACGCCTGAGTTTTTCCTGATTCCAGAAAGATTTCTGTGATTAACAGTTTATGAGGAAAATCACCTACGGAGACTTCTGGGGAACTCCAGCTGATAATGCTGGCAGGACATCTAAGCATTTGGGCTTCATGGTACTTTTATAGTGCTGACCACTGTGTTCAGCACACTGTTCTCTCGGCATGTTTTCAGGCACCCCTTCTTTCCAGGACTGAAGGATGATATTGATGACCATCAATTCTGGTGGCCTACTGGACAGAGTGTTGCATTGCCAACCCAGAGCCATGTGGTTCAAATTCACCAGCTGCTCCACAGGAGAAAGATGAACAACCTCCTGTATAATTTATAGCCTCAAAAAACCTGCCGGAGAGTCAGCTATGAGTTGATTCTAACTCAGTAGCCAACAGCTGAGGTTATGTTATGTGGAAAATCCTCTTTCAGTCATTACAGCTGCACTGGAAAGTAGGTAATGTTCTTGTAACTATTTCAGAGGAGGAATTTAGGAATATAACAGTCTTTATAAAGTAAATATTGTGCTTGAACAAAGAGGAAAAAGAAAACAAAACCCAGGCCTTTATGAAACACACATTCTGCAGGGAGTGTATTTCAAGTGTGCCTATTCTTCCTCGTCAAGTGGTGGAGAGATTTGAACTGATTGGCGTTTGCTTAATGTGTTACTGCTTTTTAACTTCCGTCCTAGTGACATAGTGGGTTACATGTTGGGCTGTTAATGGAAATATCCATCAATCACAGGAGAGGAGTAAAATGAGGCAGTCTTCTTCACTAAGACTTTTGGCCTAGGAAACCCAATGTAGGGTTGCTGTAAATTGGAATCAACTCAGTACCAATGGGTTACTTGGTTTGTTCGTTTGTTTTTGCTTTATGAAAAAGCTTGAGGAAGAGGAGTTGTGCACAGATTATGATAGTATAAAATGGATCAAATATTGAAAGTTATTAACTAAGCACAGTCATGGAACTCTGGTGGCCTAGTGGTAAGAAGCTGCACTGCAATCCTCAAGGAACATAGTTCGAATCCACTAGCTGCTTCATGGGAGAAGGATAGACAGTCTCCTTTTGTGCAATTAACTGCCTCTGAAAACCCTACAGAAGGGTAGCTATGAGTTGGCTCCGACTCTACAGTACTCAACAACAGCAAGAAGTCCAATCATATAGGAGCGCGGATGAAATGAGTAGTACTTATGCTGGTGATGCCAAACTTTATTATTTGTCGATTACTTATTCTAGAGCCAGAATTCCATTTCCAGTTTACTGTTTCCACATGTCTGTTCTATAGGCAGGGAGCTCTGATGGCCTAGTGTTAAGAAGCTGCACTTTAATCCCAAAGGCATGCGGTTTGAATCCACCAGATGCTCCATGGGAGAATGATGGGCAGTCTCCTCCCTTGCAGTTACCTGCCTCTGAAAACTTGCTAGAAGGTCAGCTGTGGGCCAGTTCCAGTTTGAAAGCACACAACAACAGTAACATCATTCTATATAGGTAGGGAGCTCTTGTGGCTTAGTGGTAAGGAGTTGCATTGCCAATCTAAAGGCATGTGGTTTGAATCCACCAGTTGGTCTGTGAGAGGAAAATGGGAAATCTCCCATGCAATGTGCTACCTCTGAAAACTCCTTGAAGCCCCAGCTATGAGTCAGTTTCAGCTTGACTATACATAACACCATTCAATAGGCATGTCAGATCAACATATTCTTGATACCTCTTTTTCTTCCTGATTGTTACCTGTTTCAGTGAATGAGTAAAAGCAGTATTATTACTATTCAGATCTCCTTCCGTCACTTACCAATCCTGTGCATCTCTAAAATTGACATCTATCAATATGTATCTACACAGCTCTTAGAACAGACCTCATGTTGTAACAGTACTTCACCTGGTAGGACATTTTTCATACTTGCATCCATGTACATAGTTTTATACTGTTAATTTCACCAAGAAGTATACAAGTATGGACATTTATTTTAGGCCACATGTACTGAAATTTTAGAATTAGACTCAACATATTCTGTGTTTGTGTAGCAGTGCTTTTCCTCTAGTTTATTTTAAGGAAAATTATCAGTATTTCTCTGAATTAGGTATTAAGTATCAATGTGTTGCTGTGGGGATTTTTGTTGTTTTTGTTTTAAATACAAAAGGATCACTTGCTCATTGTCATCAAGTTAGAACCAACTCATAGCTGACACTCTAGTAGGTTTTTAGAAGCTGTGTATCTCGTGAGCGGAGATTACCCATCTTTCTTCTATGGCGCCACTAGGGGGTTCAAACCTTCAGAGAGATGCCACCTTTGGGTTATCAGTACAACTAACTCCCTATGCCACCAGAGCTCCCTTCTACTATCCTTTTCCTTAATTTTTCAATTTCTGTATACACACACAGCCCTTCACTTAAATTAATAGCCAAAGGTGACATCCTTGACTTCTTCCTTTTTTTCAGACTTGGGTTAGATACCTTTGCTATTTACCCAGAACCTTAAGTTTTTATTATTACTAGTTTTCAAAGTTTTAAAACCACAAAATGCCTTTGTGTTATAGTTGTGCTAAGTTACATATTTTTTCATGTATTAAAGGATATAAATAGGATTTAAAATTCTAAATTATCATAAATACTGCCCAGTGTTATTCCTGCAGCAGGCACTAACTTATCTGACTCATTGTAATGCCTTGCTACCTTGCTATGTTCTTACTGGAATTAGTATGTGTATTGTGTGTATTGGTGTCTGATTTATCAGTGGAAGAAAGACTCCGATAATCTTAACCTGTAAAAATTGGAGTATCATCCTTTTCTTCTCATGTAGATATATTTTTCCCTTTACACACCAAAAATAGCATGTAATAGTCATTATAACAATTAACCTGGCCAATGAATAATGCAAATTTTGCATAAAAAGTGTTAGGATTTCTTTTTTTTTAATACACATCTACATAGTGCAGGAGAGGAAGACACAGAGCAGGCTTCAGAGCTGTTGTACATGGGATTGTTATGTGTCACAGTTGACTGGATGGCACATAACAGCAACAACAACAAAGATATTTGGATTAGTGAAAATTAGAGGAGGAATGTGGTGGCTGGCATCAGGATTGGTGGAAGAGTCATCAACAACCTGCATTATGCAGATGATACAACCTTGCTTGCTGAAACTGAGGAGGACCTGAAGCGCTTGCTGCAGAAGGTCAAGGACTGCAGCCTTCAATATGGATTGAAGTTCAGTATCAAGAAAACAGAGATTCTCACCACTGGGCCAATTGGCAGCATCATAATGATGGTGAAAAGAATGAGATAGTTAACAGTTTTGATTTATTTGGGTCCACAGTCAACAATCTTGGTAACAGCAGCCAGGAAATCAAGAGATGAATTGCATTGGGAAAGTCAGCTGTAAGGGACCTCTCAAGAGTACTGAAGAGCAATAACTTCAGGCTGGAGACTAAGGTGCACCTGATCCAGGCTGTAGTCTTTGCAGTTAAGTGCTATGCATCAGAGAGTTGGACAGGGAATAGGGATGATAGAAAGAGAATTGATGCCTTTGAGCTGTGGTGCTGGAGAAGAGTGAATATACCATGGACTGCTAGGAGAACAAACGGGTTTGTCTTGTAGAGAGTGAAGCGGAATGCTCCTTGGAGTCAAGGATTCTGAAGCTTCGTCTGACATACTTTGGGCGTGTTGCAAGGAGGGACTGGTCCTTAGAGAGGGACATCCTGTTTGGGAGAGTAGAGGCACATCGCAGGAGAGGAAGACCCTCGATGAGATGGATCAATTCTGTGATCAGAGAGGTGGGAATGAGTATGTTTGAGACAGCGAGGTTGGCACAGGATAGAATGGCATTTAGGGCTCTTGTACATAGAGTCGCTATGAGTTGCAAGTGACCCAATGGCACATAGCAACAACAACCTTTTAAATAAAGCTATGTTGCCAGGGTGGCACCTCTTTAGAGAGAAACGATTGTTGTGTTCATGCCAGGATTCAGTAATATTGTCGACAAAACTAGCAATGAAGAGGTAGGTTTCCATGGGCTACTGAAATGCTTTGTAGTTCATTGACTGTGAAATTATTTTTCTTTTTTCACTTTCAGATTTAGATATCAAGGCATCAGGATCTGGTTGTATAAAAGTAAAAAAAATTGAGTGTGATAATTGCCAAATTGAAACAGATCAAGGATCCAGCATTTTACAATCTGTTAAGGTAAAAACTTATTTTTCTAGTTATATTTCAAAATTTTTATAAAGTATTGGTCTTAAGAAACTATAACCAATATTAGAACTGTAAGGGAATTTTAAATATTGCTGATTGTATATGTGTTTTGGAACAGAGATCAGCGAGCTTTCTATAAAAAAAAAACAAACCAGATAGTATATGTTTCAGGGTTTCCAGGGCTTAAGGACTCAGGTGCAACTACCTAACTGTTATTGTAGAGAAAAAACCATCAGTATACAAATGTAAATGAATGAAAGTGGCTGTGTCCCAATAAAACTTTATTTAAAAAACAGATATTGATTGGTCAAAAGCACATTAGACAACACTTTATAATTTCTAGGATGACACTTACCAGGAAAACATTAGATAACAAGTGTTAATAAGGATGTTGAAGAAATTGAAACTCTTTTATGTTGCTTGTCTGAATATAAACTGCTGCAGCCCATGTGAGAAACAGTCAAGTTCTTAAAAAAGTTAAGCCTGCAATTATGTATAAGTCGGTTTTCTACTTCCTCAGTATAGACCGAAAAGGCTTTTTAAGACAGTAATCAGATAGCTACATGTTAACACAGTATTATTCACATTAGCCAAATATGGAAATAAGCCAGTTATCAGCAGATTAAGTGATAGACATACATGAAATATAATTCAGCCTTAAAGAGAAATGATATTCTGAGACATCTACAACATGGATAAACCTTGAGAACATTAGGCTGAATGAATAAGGCAGGTACAAAAGGACACATTATTGAATGATCCTGCGTATATGAAATATCTTGTGTAAGTAAATAGGCAAAAGTTTTTCAGTAGTTACACATGGCCAGAGAGTTGAGAGTTATGCTGAAGAGGTTCAGATTTAAACTTCTGGAAGTGCATAATGATAGTGGTAGCACAATATGGTAAATGTCATTAATGTCACTGATTCATACACTTTAAAATGGCAAGTTTTCTCACCTTTGGCACAGTAGGCATTTTATGTTGGATTATTCTTTGTTGTGGGGAACTGTCTTGTGCAGGGTAAGTTGGTGAGGAACATGCCTGACTTCTGCTGTCTCAGCCATGACAGTTCAGAGCGTCTCCAGACATCACCATAGGTCCTTTTGTGGTCAAACTCATCCGTGTTTGATCACTACCAGGGCCTCTTTAAAGTGCTAATGAGTAAAGTTGTCACTTTAAAGATCACCATGCACCTGATCTGAGCCATGGCATTTTTAGTTGCTTTATATGCACAGGTGAAAGCTGAACAATGTATATGAAGCTTTTGAATTGTAATGTTGGCAAAGAATATTGAGTGGACTGCCAAAAAAATCTAATCGATCTGCCTTGGGAGAAGTACACCCAGAGTGCTCCTTGAATACCAGGCTGGTGAGACTGTTCACGTATTTTGTGTTTGTTATCAAGAGGGACCAGTCCCTGGCCAAGGCCATCTTGTTTGGAAAAGTAGAGTCAGTGAAAGTGAGGAGTGCCCTTCATGAAGTAGTCAAATCCTCCAGCTGTGCACAGCAGCCGTAAGAGAATGGACTTTGAAATCACACAGAGCTTAATTTATACCTCAACTAACTTTTAATTGTGTCACCTTGATATTATTATTATTGAATCTGTAAAACAAGAAAAGACATAATAGTTCTGTTTCTGGATTGCTGTGAGCACTAAATGGTAATTTATGTAAACTAATTAGCATTGTTTTTGCTGCAGAGAAAATGTCAAATAAGTGATGTTTTTGCTGTTACGTGCCATCGAGTCATCTACAACTCATAGTGACCCTATGCACAAATAAGTGATACTTACTGGTATTAATAATAATGAATAGTAATGGCTATTGTCATCATCATCTTATCTTCATCATTGATGTTTAGTTAGCTGATCATGTTGTTGTTAGGTGCCATCGAGTTGAGTCCAGTTCATAGCAACCTTAAGATCAACAGACCCGAATTCTGCCTTTGCCCTATCTTGTGCCAACCTCATCATCTCTGACATACTTGAGTCCATTGTTGAAATCACTGTGTCAAATTCTTCTCATCAAATGTCTTCCTTTTCTTTGCTGACCCTCCATCTTTCAAAGCATGATGTCCTTTTCCAAGGGATAGCCTCACCTAGCTACATGGCCAGAATATGTGAGATGAAGCTTTGCCAACCTTGCTTCCAAGGAGCACTCTGGCTGCCCTTTCTCCAATACATATCTTTTCTTTTGGCAATCTGTGGGATTATTCAGTAATCTTTTCCAGCACCACAACTCAAAGCATCAATTCTGCCATCCTTATTCATATTGTTGTTGTTAGATGTTGTCATGTTGAGTACAATTCATGAACATCAGATCTAAACTGTCCTATGCTGTGCCAGCCTCACAATCTCTGACACACTCAAGCCCATTGCTGTAGTCGCTGTGTCAGACCACTTGGTTGAGGATCTTCCTCTCCTTTGCTATCCCTCCACCTTTCCAAACATGCTGTCCCCCTCTAAGGAATAGCCTCTCCTAGCAACATACTCCAAAGTATGTGAGATGAAGTTTCATCATCTTTGCCTCCATCCATCTTTACACTCTGGCTGCACCTTCTCCAAGACATAATCTGTTTTTTTCTTTTGGTATTCCATAGTGTATTCAGTACTCTTCTCCAATGCCACAGTTCAAAGGCATCAATTATTCTTCTGTCATCTTTAGTTATTTTCTAGTTCTCAACCACGTTGCAAAACCATGGGCTAAATCAGGCACACCTTAGTCCTCAAATTGATATCATTGCTCCCAATAATTTAGAGAATTCTCTGACTGCAGACTTTCCCAGTGCAACACACCTCTTGATCTCCTTTCTACTAGTATCAAGTTTATTGATTGTAGATTCAAATAAGATGAAATAGTTGACGGTCTCAGTCTTTTTTCCATCTATCACAATGCTGCCTGTCAGTCTACTGGTGAGGACTTTTGTTTTCTTGACACTGAGATGCAGTTCATATGGAAGGCTGCAGTATTTAACCTTCAGCAGCAAGTGCTTCAAATCCTCTTCACTTTCAGCAAGCAAAGTTGTGCCACTCACATAATGAAGATTACTGATGAATCTTCCTCCAATCCTGATGCCACATTCTACTTCATAGAGTCCAGCTTTTCAAATTATTTGCTCAGGAATGGAAAGGACACAACCCTGTAATTTCTAAGCCCTTCTTCAGAGAGACTCTCAAGGAGGCTTTATATTTCCTTTTGAATCCAAGTAGGTTATTTAATCTTTTTAATAGCAGTTGACAAGTTTTTTATTTGGTATCATTCTGAACAGAATATTTCTTTTTCAGTCATCTTCTTTTACTTCTTAGTGGTTTTTATAAATAAAAAAAAAGAATGTGTAAGATGAATTTTTTTAATAATTTTCATGAATCGAACTTTTTCTTTATGTCTGTGTTTCAGAGTCAAAACTTACATGTTCAAACTAAAGGAGGAGAAGTGATTTGTCTGGGAACAGTTTATGGAAATGTAGATATTCATGCATCAGATAAGAGTGTAAGGTTCAAACTTCCTTTTTTCCCCATAATTTTAATTTTGCTTCATGTAAGCTAACAGTGTTAGCTAACAAATTCATGATGCAGAATTCTTTCTTAATAAGT